ACCCTCCGACAGTGCGGCGCTCCCTCAGCGCTGACCCTCCGACAGTGTGGCGCTCCCTCAGCACTGACACTAACAGTATTTGGAGTTTCCTCTTCGATCCATGTCCCAGGCTCTAACAATTCAGGGAAGTGAGTTTCTCGGTCAGAATAAAGTTATTTTTGAATCTTTGTGATTGTTCCCTGAAAGGGTGAAAAATTTATTAATCCAAAAGTTAGCCACAAGTTGCAGGTAAACATCTTAGTTTATTTATAATTAAAAAAAATCAACTGTTTCCTGTTCCAATGTGAGTTCACTGCATGTCAGTGTGTGCTGCCTGATTCTGGACTGGGGCTGGGGGCAGAGGAGAATTTTACACAGGAGGGGGCTGCTAGGAAAACAACGGTTCCTTAAATTTTGGGGGGAAACGCTGCGGTGAAGTGAAGTGCACGGTGTTCTGCACTGCTCCCTGTTCATTCAGTTACTGATCACCATCAGTGTCGTGTGGTGGTTAATGCGCTTCACCACATGGAGTCATTGTTGAACTGTCACCAAATATCACAGCAATTCATGGTTCACAAGATTGAGTGTCCCAGCGCTGACCGTGTCTCCGGGGCGGGGGCGGGGGCGGTTGGAAGAGGGTCTAGGCTGCCTGTTTTGGGGGCGCCTTCCAAATCCTGAGCTGAAGGACAGAACGAGATCAACGAACCCAATGGAGGTGAAGTTGAGTTGGTATAGGTTTCCGATTATTGCAGCACCATCCTCTCTCTCTCTCTCCCAGCCACATTACATGAAGGGTACCGTTTCTGCTGATGTGCCCAAAGTCACTGATGGCCCAGTTGGCACCTGCTTCTCTCTTCCCACACACAACCGTCGTCAGCCTCAAACCAGATTGGAAGAATCACTTTGGAGGAGTTAAGGTTGTGTATACACTTCCGATGGGAATGCAGCTAATCCGACCCTTTGGGAAATATCCTCGTCGAGGGGCATGTCTCTATGGCAGATGCTCTCCCTCAAATGCAGCAACTAAATTCAGATCAGGAGATGAGTGGGTTGGTGGGGGTTTGGGTGGGGTGAGGGGCGGTTGGGGAGGGGAGGGAGAGAGAGAGAGAAACGAAAGAACAAAAGCCTCGAAAAGGGAGGGGAAGAGAGGTTGCCGTCATGTTAATCGAGAGGCTCCTGTTTTATTCGGATTGGTGTTGGGGTGAGCTGTAGGCGTTTCTCTTGTCGATATAACACATATTCACTGAACTGTGAGGAATCCACACCACCACCACAGGAAGCGACCACCCGAAATCCCTTGTGTAACAATCGTTCCAGAACCTGCAGCAGAACAATCAATTGGGAAATCAGACAGTACAGAAACGATGCCAAGTACACAAGGCCACTGGCCCTCTGTGGTTCGTTGAGAGAACACCAATTTGCCCCAGCACCCTCCACTTTCAATGTGGCTCTGTAGTTGCACTGCAGAGCAACTCTCTGCAAATAAAATCGTCAACGGGCCCTGCTTCCTGTCATCTTTGTCCATACTCCTGGTTCCCCATCTCCTTTCTAGTTAAAGATCTCTGTCTGCACTAGCAACAGCCTTCTTCATTTTGAAAACCATCATTAAATCTCTTCCATTTTCTCCAATCTCTCTGCATGAGCCATATTCCTCATCCCGGTTCGCACACTGGGAAATATTTTCTGTACCTTCCCCAATCCTTCATTGTTCTGCAAAAGGATGACTCTGATGGGTCACGTGTTTTGATTTGAAACAGGTGGGATGAGTGTACATGACCCTGTGTATTTCACAGATCCTTTCTAATCACCCTGTTCAGAGAAATTATGAAACACCTCTGCAGCAAGTGGGACTTGAACCTGGGCTTCCTGGCTTAGGGGCATGGACACTACCAACCCACCACAACGTCCCACCTGGGTGTTAATGCACAATTGAAGAAAGTAGTTGAGAGCTGTCTGTCCAGTTCATTTCTCAAGGCAATGTCCTGACTAATTAGGATCAACCTGCCTCTAAATAGGTAAATAATTTAAAAATAAAATCCATTGAAGATAAAATGAGGTAATATGCTTTGGTCAGTAAATTAAGAGGCCACTTCTTATTGTGAAAAATTCACAGGTTAATGAGGCAATGAAAAACCAAAATCATTCTCTTTCCTAGAGGGACAGAATTGAAAATGAATGCGTTTATTTAAACCAGTCTCAAACAGGTGGACACCACTTCATTTCCCCCTCAGACTCCACTTTGATTTAACACTTCCTGCGTCTCTACCACCCCCTCCCACCCTTCACCTCCTGACGGTTTGCAGTGCCCTTAACGATTTACCGCTGGTGGCTAGTAGTTTCTCCAGTCCTGAAGAAGGGTTCCAACCCGAAACGTTGACTTTCCTGCTCCTCAGATGCTGTCTGACCTGCTCTGCTGTTCCAGCTCCATGTTCAGTGACTGTAGCTTCCAGGATCTGCAGTCCTCTGGTCTCAAACCTCAGGTGGGGGCCAAACTGGGCAGCACCATGTACAGTGTCTGCTCTCTATATTGGAGAAGGATTACAGAGGCCCTGGGACAGGGTACAGGGAAGGTTTACAGGGTGAGTTTCTGTTGCTGGTAACTTGGGTCACTTCTCTCTTGAATGACCACTGAGGGAGGGGTGACCTCATGGAGAGCTTAAAAATAACAAAAGGTTTGGACAGAGTGGATTCAAACAGAACAAAAACAAAAGTCATCGCTACAAGAGACTCAGTAAAAATTCAATGGGGAATTTGGGAGAAGCATCTTTCCCGGAACATGCTGGGAAAGTGACCGACAGGGAGTGAGTGGTATGTATCGATATACCAACAGGGAAGCCTGACAGGCCAATAAGGGAGAAGGAAATAGAGGGGTTTTATGGTAGATTAAAATGAGGAAAGATGGGAGGAGACTAGACTGAAGCATAGACACTAGCAGGGACTGGTTGGGTTGAATGGCCTTTTTCTGTGCTGTATATTCTATATAATCTGATGTCAAAACAAAGTCTTTTTAAAACACTGGTTAAGCCTCAGAGTAATGGCTTTAATTCTAGACATCACATTTTAGGAAAGATGTACGACCATGACAAATAGGAACAAGAGTAGGCCATTCAGCCCCTCGAGCCTGTTCTGTCATTCAACAGGATTGTGGCTGTTCCAACATTCCTCACATTCACTTTCCTGCCCTTTCCCACAAGCCTGGATTCCTCGACAAACCTTAAGTACACACAAGGACTCTGCCCCAACAGCTCTCTGCGGCAAGGAGTTATAGAGACTCACAACCCTCTGAGAGAGGAAATTCCTCCTCATCTCAGCCTTAATTTGGCTCCCCTTTATTCTGAGACTGTGCCCTCTGTTTCCCCTCATGGGAAGGGCTAGGACCATCCTCTCAGCATTTACCCTGTTAAGCCCCTTAAGAATCTTTATGTTTAAATGAGATCATCCCTTACTCTTCTAAACTCCAGTGAGTCGAGTCCCAACCTGTTTAACCTTTGCTCATAAAGACAGTCCCTCCATCCCAGAGATCATTCTAGTGAACCTTCTCTGAACTGCCTCCCATGATGATCTTTCCTTAAATAGGGAACCCAAAACTGCTCACAGTACTCCTGATGTGGTCTCGCCAGCACCTTGTCCAGTTGCAGTCGGACTTCCCTACTCTTATACTCCAATCCACTTGAAATAAGGGTCAGCATTCCATTAGCCTTCACCTGTTTGCGAGCTCCTGTCTTTGGTTTCCTGCCCCTCCACCCACCTAAGTCAATTTGTGTTGCAGCTTTCTGCAGTTTCTCTCCATTTAAATAATACTGTTCTTTTATTCTTCCTTCCAAAAGAGTTTGCAAAAACCTTGAAGGTGCAGAGATTTACCAAAACAGAATCAGGGATAGAAATATAGGAAATAGGAGATGGAGTAGGCCATTCACTATGATCATGGCTGGACATCCAAATCAATCCCTGTTCCCATGTTCCCCCGATACCCTTTGATCTCTTTAGCCCTGAGAACTATATCTAACTCCTTCTTGAAGGCATTCAATGTTTTGGCCTCCACACTTTGTGACAGAGAATTCCATAGGCTCCCCATTCTCTGGGTGAAGATGTGTCTCCTCATCTCAGTCCTACATGGCCCACCCCATATCCTTAGACTGCGATCCCTGGTTCTGGACACATCTCCCACCCGCCAGCCCGGTCATCAGGAACATCCTTCATACGTTTATCCTGTCTACTCTTGTTAGAATCGTATTGGTTTCTATGAGATCATTCTTCAAAACGCCAAATGAATCCAGTCATAACTGATCCAGTCTCTGAGTGTGTAAATCCTTTCATCCCAGGAATCAGGCTGGGAAACCTCAATGAGAAATTTAATAAGGTAGAGAAACTGGAAAAGGTCAAGGGAAGATTTAATTGAGGCGAGCAAAATCACAAAGTGTTTGAGAATAAATAAGGAGAAATTGTTTCTAGAAGGTTGATAACCAGAGGATGGAGATTTAAGATAATTAGCAAAGTAATGAGGGTTGGGGGTTAGGAGATTGTTTTAACACAGGGAGCTGTGGTGATCTGGAACTTTTAGTAGGGATTTGGGTGAAAACTTAAGAAAAGGGGACATTTGCAAGACGACAGGAGAGAGCCCAGAGTGGGACAAAGTTGCTTTGTCAGCAGAGGCATCAGGAGCTGAAATGGCATCTTGTATTCAGTAACATTGTGTAATCTGTAGGGAACCCAATGTATATAATGCAAATAGAACAAGTACAAAATGCTGACACAGGGTACTCTACAGTCAGATCACAGACTACAGCCTGGAACTGAACTAAATGGTAAAAGGACCTGGAATGTGGTAAGTATGAAAAAGAAAATCATTATGATCAATTAAAGTCAAAAGCATGAATAAAAATCTGACACCTAGTTACAACGTTGTTTGAGGAGTAAATGGAGTTTGAGCCAGGTTCAATGAGACCACACAAATGTGTCTGAAGAGTCTTATTAAGAGTCTGTGACAAGAGGTAACCTCCTCCGGCTTCCAAACATTCCTCTTGCCAATGGCCTGGGGCCCCGATTAAACACCAAACTCAGAGAGACACGCAGCAGTAATGGGAATGCACTGAATTCTCAAACACAGCACAGCTCTCAACACACTGTATCTGAGTGTAGTGCTATGAAGCACTGATGTGTTTTCCAATTGATTCACTGTCTCTTAGAATTGCAAAGGGAGAGATAGTAACAGCAGCACAGTACCCAGTTAAACAGTGGGCAAGGTACAGCTGTCCCCTATTTTTAAGTTGATGTGGACTTCCTGGAAATTTGTCAGAGGCTTCTAAAATAATGAATGGATGTGATTTGATCATTGTGGAGACACTGTTTAATGAGAGAGGTTAGAGAAGTCAGGACACAAGTTATATACAAATCAGATCAGGTTTCAGCTCAGACTGATTGCAGGAACAAGCTGCTGGTTAAAAGGGCAGCTCCCTGATTATGGCCTGGTGATTTCTAAAAATCAGGTAGTGGTTTGACTGGGGATGTCTGGGAGAATGGGAGGCAGCCATTACCCCCATGACCAGTGGCTCAGTGGTTAGCACTGCTGCCTCACAGCACCAGGGACCCGGGTTCAATTCCACCCTCAGGCGACTGTCTGTGTGGAGTTTGCACATTCTTCCCGTGTCTGCGTGGGTTTCCTCCAGGTGCTCCGGTTTCCTCCCACAGTCCAAAGATGTGCAGGTTAGGTGGATTGGCCATACTAAATTGCCCCCACTATCCAGGGATGTGCAGGCTAGATGGGTTAGCCATGGGAAAATGCAGGGTTACAAAGATAGGGCAGAATGCTATTCAGAGTGTTGATGCAGACTCAATGGGCTGAATGACCTCTTCCTGCACTACAGTGTTTCTATGACAGCGCAGGACATGCTCATTGTGACCTAACCCCATCCTCTGTCTTGTTAGTTTGTATAACACAGCACAGGAATAGATACAGAGAAAAGTTCTCTCTACACTGTCCCCAAACATTCCCGGGACAGAAACAGCACAGGATTAGATACAGAGTTAAGCTCCCTCTACATTACTCAATATTTAAGTCAGCCCCCCTCCCTGCCCAATTACAGCGTGGTGACCTGTTAATTTTTTGCACACCATCAAGCAGTTGGAGTGAGATTCCCAACTGATACTAATTGAAACCAGTTAGAGAGCAGGTTCGGCTGGTTTCCCTATAGCCGCTGGGATGAGATTACTATTGTCAGTATCTGAAACCGCACTGGCTGCAGGTTAGAGCCCTTCTATGCTATCCCCCTGCACACGGTCTCAGCCATAAGGGGTCAATAACTGACCAACACCTAGGACACAAGATGCCTGACATTAAACTGTGAGAAACCAAAAGTTTTTTCCAGTTTGTTGCTGTGTTTTCACAAAAAGCAACTCGTTAAAAGGGGAATGCAGTGAAGGACTATGATGTTCGGCTGGTGATATGGGGGATGGAGAGGCACTGTGTGAAAAACAGGAGCTGATCTATCAGAATCAGGCAGCAGTCCGTCACCCCAGTTTACCAAAGCCGTGAGGAATTGGGAAGGGCAGAGACAATTTGCTGAGCTGGTAACTGGGGCTGGAGTGTGGAGTTAGTGGGAGTGAATTCAAATTCAGACTGTACTGTCGAGAGCAGAGAAGATTCAGAGAAAAATTAAGAAAGGACATGAGAAGGTAAATCCCGAAACGATCTTGATTATTAACAAGGTAACAACGGAGCTCCTGACTGATCCAGTTTTGGATTTATACGATGGTGGTTCAAGTTATGTACATTCACAGCAAGGGATCTGTGCACATTCAAGAGCTGCAGGGCACCATTAAGTTGTATTTAGTTTGGCAAACTCCTGTTTCCTCTCAGAACAGTCTGACATCTGCTTAACATTTGGTGCATGGTTCAAAGATGGAACACAGATGGAATCAATACAAAACCTACCGGTGGAACAGCTACAAACTACTGCCTGAAAATTAGACACAACTGTCCCCTTCTCTGCAGAGTGAGAGCTACACCTGGTCAAATTCTCAAAACCTACCAACGACAGAACAAAGGTCCCAGTGGAGAAATTCCCAATTCCTGACAGATTGCATGGATTCGGGGAAGAACAAGGCTCTGTGCTGAATGGGAGGAAGCCATTGGGAAATGCACTCAGTGCAGGAGCAATGTTACAGACTAACACATGGCCTCTTGTCTGACACTCACTGTATATTTCAGGAGCTGATGGACAGTATTGAGGGCACTTTGGCAGAGCCTGAGAAAAGGTGAGACTGTGAGGTAGGTGAGGGGGCAGGTGCCAGGTGGGTAACTATGAATTTGCCAACTTTAACACTGGATTCAGAGAGCTCCAGGCACAGGGGAATTCCCTGATGGAAAATTCAATTTCCTGCGAGACTCCCATGGTGTCTGCTGCGTGTGGAATTCCGTTGGGTCCCGAGGGGTCACCCCAGTCTGTGCTGCTCCAACCATCAGAAAGGCTGGACTATTTTATCTCCTCATTCTTCCTCCCAAAACGTACAGTCCATATCAGCATAGGTCAGCCATTGAAGGCTCCAAAACCAGGTGTTTGCAGAGACACGGGAGGACCAGAGTGAACCACCGGTGCTGCCTGTGGCTGGTACCCTTTTCTGACATCCAATGCAGAGTGTGGCAGAAAGCCACAATGCCCTGTTCATTCTCAGGTGCCCAGCTATAAGGTGCTAGTGTAAAAGATGCAGCAGTGGGCTGAACAACAAGGTTGGCTGTGAAAGCAAGCAGAGCACCTGACAGTTGAAAAAAAGTGGCTGGGGGAGTGGGCATTGTGCTGGGGGTAGGGGTTTGGGTGGACTTAGATGCTGAGTATACGCAAACATTATATTCTTATGGCTGGAAGACATTTCTCACTGTCCTTCGTTGCTAGAGGGATTGAGTTTAAAAGCAGGGTAGTTATGTTGCAGCTGTACAAGGTGCTGGTGAGGCCACCACCTGGAGTACTGTGTACAGTTTTGGTCTGCTTACTTGAGAAAGGATGTACTGGCACTGGAGGGGGTGCAGAGGAGGTTCACCAGATTGATTCTGGAGTTGAGAGGGTTGGCTTATGAGGAGAGATTGAGGAGACTGGGACTATAATCATTGGAATTTAGAGGATTGAGGGGGAATCTTACAGAAACACAAAATGATGAATGGAATAGATAAGATAGAAGCAGGGAGGTTGTTTCCACTGGCAGGTGAAACTAGAACATGAGGGCATTGCCTCAAAATAAGGGGGAGCAGATTTAGGACTGAGTTGAGGAGGAACTTCTTCACACGTCTCTCGCTAACTGACTTGGTGGCACCTCTTATTCAATATAGCCTGACCATTATTCCCCACTTCAACCACTATTTGTAGGTCCATCCATTGAAGACAGAGACGAAGAGGAATTTCTTCTGTCGGTGGGGGGGGATGAATCTATGGAATGTGTTACCACAGAGGGTTGTCAAGGGTGGGTCATTAAGTACAGGCTGTGAATCTGTGGAATTCTCTGCCCAGTGAAACAGCTGGGGCTATCTCGTTGAATGTTTCTAACGTAAAGATAGACAGATTTTTTTTTAACAGTAAAGGAATTAAGGGTTATGGTGAGGGGACGGGTAAGTGGAGCTGAGTCCACAAAAAGATCAGCCATGGTCTTAGTGAATGGCTCGATGGGCCAAGTGGCCTACTCCTGCTCCTATATTCTCACAATCCTGTGCATTTCTGGTTTCAATTCAGAATTCTCTGCAGTACTTGCTCATCCCACCAGTCACATCAACATCCTTTCACTATGTCCCTGATGATTCACAGCACAGCCACGTTTTTGTGTCACGTGCAAATTCTGAAATGATGCCCTGAACATTCCAAGCCTGGGTCATTAATATACCTTAGAAAAGCAGTGCTCCTTGTATTTACTCCTGGAGAACTGCACCTTTCTCCAGCTCCTAAACTGACCATCACTGAAACCACAGCAAAAAACTGTGGATGCTGGAGATTTGAAGCAAAACAGAAATTGCAGGAGAAACTCAGCAGCATCTGTGGAGAGAAAACAAGAGTTAATATTTCAGACCCAAAACATTTCCAGAATCTTTTGTTTTTATTTTGTTCATCATTTATTCTGTGCTTCCATCACTCAGTCGACTTTGCATCCCCAACGTCTTTTTTATACCCTGGGCTTCCAATTTTCCAGAAGCCTATTCCACCTATAAAAGTATCTGTGACACACTGATGTCGCAGTTCCCTAGCACACATCTCTCTCTAAATGACTTGGTGGTACCTCTTATTCAATATAGCCTGACCATTATTCCCCACTTCAACCATTATTTGTAGGTCCATCCAGTGAAGACAGAGACAAAGAGGAATTTCTTCTGTCGGTGGGGGGAGATGAATCTATGGAATGTGTTACCACAGAGGGTTGTCAAGGGTGGGTCATTAAGTACATGCTGAAATAGATTTTTAATCAGTAAGGGATTCAAGCGTCATAGGGAAAAGGCAGAAGTGCTTTTGAGGATAATCAGATCAGTCACAATCTCAGTGAATAGCAGCACAGTCTCAATGGGCTGAATGGCCTACTTCTGCTCCTACATCATAACGTCTCCTGTCTGTATCTATAGCACCCCGAGAACCCGTGCTCACTCATACACAGGGACAGGAAGGCAGTGACCATTATACAGCATGGATACAGATTGTCACACTGACCAAGAGAACACAACAATCTGGAAATACAGGCCGAGCTGGGCCCTCACCTGGACTGAGTTGAGGCGGCAGTAACCGTTGATGGGGAAGCGGATGACATGGGTGGGGTCCTGGTTCCAGCCGGCGTTGACAGAGTTACACATGACATCCCCAGTCTCAGGGAAGATATCCTCAATCAGAGATTTCTCTCCACTCAGGCTGATACGCTCCCCCAGGTCAGGGGTCACCCTCAGCACCAGGCACTCACAGGCCTGTGAGGACTTGCGATGTTCTTTCTCCTGTTTCCACCTCTCCAGCTCCCTCACCATGGGCTGTAACTGGTAAAACTTCGCCTCTTCATATAACAGGCTGAAATCCTGCAACACAAGTTATTTCATTCACATCAACGGTTTCATTTCTGACAGTTCTCCTTGGCAGTAGGCCATTCAGCCCCTTGAGCTGTTCCATTCTTGCGCATATAAAGTACACAAACGGAAGAGAAACAGGCCATTCAGCCCCCCAGGCCCATGCTAATTTTATGTGCCCCACAAGTCACCTTCACTCGACTGAAGTCATGGTCATACTCCCCTCCAATCCATTCGAAATCGCTCTTTGACAGAAACCTACCAACTGCACTTTCATCAGAGACTCAAGGGCTAAATTCCCAAGGACAGGCTCAGGTTGGATTCTATCAGGTTTGGAATATTACAGGGTGATGTACATCAGTTTCAGACAACTCTAGGATTTGAACGTTATCTCTCAAGGCTGATTTGGGTGTTTTTTTTCTTTATTCATTCACGGGACAAGGGCATTGCTGGCCTTGCAGCATTTATTGCCCATCCCTAATTACCCAGAGGGCAGTTAAGAGTCAGCCACATTGCTGTGGGTCTGGAGTCACATGTAGGCCAGGCCAGGCCAGGTAAGGATGGCAGTTTCCTTCCCTAAAGGGCATTAGTGATGGGTTTTTCCTGACAATCGGCAATGGGTTCACAGTCATGGGTTGGGGCGTCATGAGTCCAGACAAAGAGCTGTAACGTTACAGTGACAGCTGGATCCCACTCCGCTTCAGGAAACCCGCCCAGTGTAGGGTGGGTCTGGATCTCTCTCCGGTAAACAGCTGTGAGGCAAAGCACTATCGCAGAGTGATAGATTTTGGGATGGTGAGAATATGTGACCAAGGATGGCCAATGGAGTGAAGATAGGGAGCAGTCGCAGGACTGGCCGAAGACCACACCCACCTCTTGTTGAAGCAGCCTCAGGGAGACCCGCACAGGCTGCTTGGTTTTTGCTAAAAACAAAGTTGAAACTTTTCATCAGAAACAGGACACTAGATGCAGTCTTGAAAACAGACTCTGTCCTATACAGCATGAGAAGAGGATGCTGATTAGTTGGGTCGTCATTGGCTGGGGATGCAGCAGTTAACTGTCAGTCTAATTCCCAGAGCAGACAGGTTGGTTCTGATTGGCCAGGACGTTGCCGTGGACATTCAGCAGAATTTAGTTGTCTCTGTGATGGAAAAGGTACAATGTCTGTACAAATTTCTTTAGTCCCCATTAAACAAGGTCCTGAATATGTGTGCATGTAGCTTCTATCATGCACAAATATATCACAGTGCGAGTATGGCCAATGATCTTAAATTGGATTCTGGTGTAACTGTCAGCGCACTTTGGGTTATTTAATAAATGCTGTCCAGTGGCAGAATCACATCTAAAGCAGGGGCTGGTTGAGCACGAGCTGTGAAAGGTCAATGGGATGTGTTGTTCGATACAGTCCACTAGCTGTCATATGACCTACATACCTGACATCAAAACTGCATGTCCATGGCAACTTCCTGACCAATCAGAGTCAACCTGTCTGCTCTGGGAATTAGACTGGCAGTTAACTGCTGCATCCCCAGCCAATGATGGTGCAACCAATCAGCATCCTCTTCTCACGCCGTATCAAACAGAATCTCTTTCGAAATCTGTTTCTTATGTCCTGTTTCTGATGAGTGCAGGATGAAAAGCGTCAACTTCTCTTCTGTTTTTAGCAACGTTTACACTCTGTACTACCAGGCAATTGTTAGTTTATTTATTTCTGCATTCCATGGACACTGCAGTCCAACACCAGCCACAAAATTTGAGCTGATACCCAATTGCCAACAACAGAAAAGTGTGCAAGAAAAGGAAATGCATTCTACAATTCACCTTGAAATCCTCTGGGAGCAGAAGTTTCGATGTCCTGAGGAAACTGAGGATGTATCGGAAAATTTCACCGTCTCGATCAATGAAGTAGTGCTGCTTTAAACTGTCCAGAACAATTGGCTCCGTGCCATTGAAAAGGCGCCCTATCCTGAGGGCACAGTGTAAATACACATCACCAGGTAGAACTGCCATTGCCAAATTTACAATTTACATCCATCTATTGGTTTCATTCTGCAAATGCTAGAGACTTCAAAACTTGCAGAGAACTGATGACACAAGTTTAATAAATAACCTGCTGTTGTAGCCACTGTGTTTATGTGGTGAGTCCAGTTGAGGTTCTGTCAATGGTAACCCCCAGGATGTTGATAATGGGGGATACCGTTGACTGTCAAGGAGAGATAATTAGTTTCTCTCTTATTAATGATGGTCATTGCCTGGCATTTGTGTGGCATGAATGTTACTTGCCACTTGTTAACCCAAAATTGGATATTGTTCGGATCTTGTTGCATTTGAACACAGACTGCTTCAGTGTCTGAGGAGTCATGAATGGTGCTGAACATTGTGCAATCATCGGCGAACATCTCCACTTCTGACCTTATGATGGGGGGTGGGGGGAAGGTCATTGATGAAGCAGCTGAAGATGGTTGGGCGTAGGACAATACCCTGAGGAACTCCTGCAGAGATGTCCTGGAGCTGAGATGACTGACCTCACCACAACAGGAAGTTTTCAGATTTTTGGGCATTGGGACCAGTTCTGAGCCAGGGGTCAGGAGGGGCAGATTGCAATTCAAGAAGATTGGCACCAAGCTCCTTTTTGGGAGGCTCCCAAGTGACAGGAGAGAGTTTAAAATTCAATTGGTCAGGGGAGGTAAGAGGGAGCAACAAGACTTGTAAAGAGACAGCATAAGGAATGGTACATTAGTTCAGCATGCACTAAGAAGAACAAGAAATGCAATGAGGAGTTAGAGTTAGAGTGCCTGTTTGTAGTCTCAAAGCGCAGTGACTAGTTTTGTTGAGATACAAACACAAGTAGACGTGTGGAAATCTGGTTTAAAAATGGCGAGGATAAGGCATTTAATATTCAAGGATTTAAACGGCTCTGAAAAGATGGGCATGGAGAAAAGGGAGATGGGATGGGAGTACTAACTGGCAAAGATGGTGTAGTGTTGGAAAGACAGAATGTCCTTGAAAGGTCAAAGACAGAATCCAGGCTGTTGGAGTTGAGAAGCAAGAAAGCTATGATCACATGACTGGGGAATTCTCCAGGTGAGAGAGAGGGATCAGAGCAAGTCTTCAGAGAAATCAAAGGTGTTGAAGAACTCGAGAGTGGTGACACCCAAAAATTAACCAGGATAATGTTACAGTGAAGGGGAGAGGAATTTCTGAAGTATGTTCAGGAGAACGTCCTCAGTCAGTCAGTTCTTGGACCAGCTGGAAAGGAGCTGGACCTGGTGCTGGGGAATGAGGAAGATCAAGTACCTGTGGCTAACAGGCACCGTCATATCAGGAAATTTCAATTAGTAACAGAGAGGGGAAAGGAACCATTGTGTTTTATGAAAAAATAACTTCTACCTTGGAAGAGAGGCAATTCCAATGGGACGAGGGAGGATGTAGTCAGGGAACAATGTGAAGGAATTGGAAAGACACGGTGGCTCAGTGGTTAGCACTGCTGCATCACAGCACATTCTCCCAGTGTCTGCATGGGTTTCCTCTGGGTGCACCAGTTTCCTCCCACAGTCCAAAGATGTGCAGGCTTGGTGGATTGGCCATGCTAAATTACCCATAGTGTCTGGAGATGGGTCTGTGTGGGATACTCTGAGGGTTGGTGTGGACTTGTTGGGCTGAGGGCCTGTTTCCAAACTGTAGGGATTGTATGATCTATGAACAACGGGTGATCTTTAATGAGGAGATGCTTCAGAGTCCAGGAGTATTCCAACATGAGCAAAGTATATGAAGCCAGAGCTTGCTGGGTCAGGAAGAGATGGGGAAGATGAAGGGTATATTATTCATGTCAGGTGAATTCTTCAAGTGAGAACCAAATACAATACAAGAGGAGAAATGAAGAGGAAAATAGGGATAAAATGTCAACTTAAAAGGGAACTCATAAATCTTCTACTGGCATGAAAATAATAAGCAGGTAGCAAGAGAAGAAGAGGGTGTTATTGGGGACATAGAGATGGACGTATACTGAAAGGAGTGGGACAAGGTTACAGCACAAATAAAAAGAACTGGGTAGACAAGGAGAAGCCTGGCTGATGGCACAGGGACTGGGGGAGGGGGAGCACCAACATATGATTTCAGGTAAAAGTTTTATGGGAAGGGGGTGCAGATGAGGAAGCACTTTACAGGGCGAGTAGTAGATCAGAGATGCTGAATAATTTGAAAAGGTAATTGGATGATCACTGGAATGAAATCAAAATACAGGGGATAGGATGGGGGAGGGGCAGCTGTCGATTTCTCTACACAGGCCTAGCAGGACATGATGGATTGAATGGTGCACTTTAGTGTTTTAATAACTCTATTGCCCTTCGTGTCAGCTATGACTCTCCATATCCCATTGATTCAGTCAAATGTTAAAGACTGTCACTCTCACCTCACTCTGGAATTCGGCTCTTTTGTCCATGTTTGAACCAAGGCTGTAATGAGGTCAGGAGCTGAGTGGCCCTGGCAGAACCCAAACTGGGCATCACTGAGCAGGTTATTGCTGAGCAGGTGCTGCTTGATAGCGCTGTTACTGACACCTTCCATCACATTACTGATGATCGAGAGGAGACTGATGGGGTAGTAACTGGCCAGGTTGGATTTGTCCTCTACCGGACACATCTTTGCCAACTTCCATGGCAACCACAACTTGCCAGCTCCCTGATTAAGTCCAACGTTGAATATATAACCATGGGCCCGATGAGCAGCGATACCTCTCCAATCCAGGGCCTGGAGATTACACAGCAGGCACCTTTCTCCACACAGACAGGAAGCTGAGAATTCGATGCTACACACTGGGCATCAGTGAGCCCATCCTTGTCTTCCTAAGTATCTTATCACGTGCTCTACCATTGTGTCAGGCCCAGAGGGCAAAAACAAAACACAGCCACAGCACCAAAGACTAGAGGAGACAGTTGCTGAGCTCTCACTGTGGAGTGTAACATGTAAAGAGCAGTGAGTGAATGAGGGGCCAGTGGGTGGATGGAGCTTTTGAAACAGTCCCCCAAATGGAGACAGAGCAAATCCAGCAGTATCAGCCCCATCAAACACTGCCAGGACAGGGACAGCACAGGGTTAGAGTCAGGGTAAAGCTTCCTCTACACTGTCACCATCAAACACTCCCAGGACAGGGACAGCACGGGGTTAGATACAGGGTAAAGCTCTCTCTACACTGTCCCCCCATCAAACACTCCCAGGACAGGGAGAAGTGGAAGGAAATATTCTCAGAGTTACTCTGTCTACTTTTCCAGATTGTTTATCCACATTTTCCAGGCTATCTCAGGGGGACTTGCAGTGAAGCAGTCCGATGGGAAGAAGTGGGATTTAGTTTGGGAGCACAGCCCCCGAGTCAGTGAGACTCTGTGCTGACCAATTGTGGTAGTGAGTAGCGCTGACACAGGAAGCTCCTTACCTGGAGTCGGTGTATTTGGTTAAAGTTGCTAAGCTGCTGGTGTACATGTGTCCCCCGACATCGATGTGGACAGGAGCATTAGACTTGGTGAGCTGTGCTGGCAGCGGGATACCTTGAGATGCCACAGGAGATACAGGGGAGCGGGTCAGAGAGAGCCGTGACATTGTCCTGCCTTCCTGAAACAAAAGTCAGGTCAGATTATCTTCAAAGGCGAAACAACAACATAAATACAAGCAGGAGTAGGCCATCCAGCCCAATCACAATTGATCTGGGGCTCCGACTCCACTCCCCCACCCTCTCCCTATGTCCCTGGATTTCCCCAAGCTCCCAGCCTTCAATACATTCAACAAAGGAACATCCATAACACTCTGGGGAAATCCAAACATTCCCAACCCTCTGTGGGAAGAAATTTCTCATCTCAGTCCTAAACAATCATCCCTTTATCCTGGGACTGTGCCCGAGTTCTTGATTCTCCAAACAGCAGAAACAATCTCCCAACATCTGCCCAATCAGGTCCCCTCAGAATATCTGATCTCTCACTGAGATCACCCTTTATTCTTCTAAAGGCCAGACAATATTGACCCAGTTTACTCTGCTCCTCCACCCCCTGGGGAAAAAATCAAGTGGACCCTCACTGTACTGTCTCCACTGGGAGTACAGCTGCCTTAACGGTGGAGATCAGACCAGTTACTGTGCCCCAGCTGTGATCTCACAAAAGCCTCATGTAATTCTAACGCAACTTTCTTATTCTCCTTCTCACAAACTTACAAAGTGTTAAACTCTCCTGCTGTACCAGCGCAGGCACAATGGGCCGAATGGCTTTCTTCTGCACCGTAATAATTCTGCGATCCTGCTGGAAGCTGGGTTTAGGGACCTCGCGTGTTTCCTCTGAAATTAAAATAAGAATTTTAGTTTGCATTTGGTTTTGCTGTCTCAGAGAGCGATACTAGCTGTAGGAAATATCACATTATACACATGCAGAAACTTACTGGATGGAAACTGATTGCAGCTGTGCCTGCCTCAGCTGAGAGTTTGTGGGAACTCTTTGCTGTGGTTTAGATTTGTGAGGATATTGCTGGGATAAAAGGAATAGTGAGAGGTAACTACCAGAGAGTTTAACACTTTGGGATCGTCTCCCTGGCAAGCGCACACACACACACACACACACACACACACACACACACACACACATGGACTGCCTCCTCCAGGATCTTTTGACCCACTTAGATCCCTGCCATTAGGCAACAGCAGAGTATTTTAAAACCTTTTTTAAAAAAATACACTACCCCCATGCCTTCCCTTCAAGAGTTGTAAAACCTCATTAAAATACACCGAAACAAACAAGCCTCTAGATTTCTCAGCATGAACGCACCAAGAGTAACTCACAGATGAAAGTAAAACTAAGTCTCCCTCTGCTTAACAAACAAAACACAGACTGTAAACACCGTCCCTAACAGTGATGCAGTGGTAATGTCACTGGACTAAAAAGCCAGAGGTTTAGGTTATAGTTTTGGAGATTTGGGTTTAAATCCCATCATAGCCATTTGGACTTGAATTCAATGAATAAAATGAAAATTTCATAGGTTTTTCTGACAATCAATCTGGTTCACTCATGTCCTTTAGGGAAGGAAACTGCTGTCTTTTCCTGATCTGGCCTACATGTGTCTCCAAACCCACAGAGAATGTGGTTGTCTCTTAACTGCCCTCTGAATGGCTGAGCAAGACACCAGCTCAAGGGCAGTTAAAGATGGGCAACAAATGCTGGCCTGGCCAGTGACTCTCACATCCCATAAAAGGATAAAGGAAACATCATGACTGACCGTTTTACTTTCTGGTCTAGTCCCCAGGTTTGTCAGTTCCTGGAATTACTGGACATTCAGCCAATCAGAACGGGCTTCAGGCTGGACCTTGCTTTGCTCTCGTCCTATCACCAGCTGGAATGTCCAGGCTGCCTCCTTGTTCTTGTTCATTCCCCTTCTCCACAAGATTTGCAGATAAATACAAACGTTCTGACTACCATCACCATTACTATGTTCATTGTTCGATGATCACAAAACATTCCAGCACAGAAGGAGGCCATTCAGCGCAGATGTACATTCTGTCTATCTGTAGTAAGCACCTTGACTGGTCCCAGCAGCTCCCCCATTCAAACTGCTCTGACCTTTACCCCCAACCCTGCAGTTTCTCTCTCGGTTTCCACCTCAGAGGCTGCAACATCCTGTCAGGCCATGCACATCAGGTACCCTAATCAGTCACTGGGTGAGTACGTTTCTCCTCATATGTGCTTGCAGTTCTTTTGTTAATTTGATGCCAGGCTGTGATTTCGACCTGTGCAGGTGTCCCCTGTAAATGGAGACTACATTCTATCTGACGCCTGCCACTACATAATTTAGCAGCACTTGCTACATTCATCGTGTTCCCATTGTATAGTCACCCCTTCCACCAAAACTGTTACTCCTATCCTACTCTCCACAGATCCCTGAAGATTTCAAATAAAATGTAATAAATATTCTGGAGAGAGAGAGTAACACACACACTCACACTGCCTCACCATCTCACAATCTGTTCAGTTCCCTGACCAGTCCGACCCATTGTGGCAGAAATAAAACAAAATAAAACCCAGGGGATGTGCTTTTGACTCAACTATTACATTTTTCAAAAGCCACGGGAAATGCACCTTGTGATTACACATCTAAATCTCATACAGTCAATCCAGGTTTTTAATTCTGTACATTCACATCGCCTTCCTGACCCTGACTTCACTAGAACAGAGTCAAGAGAGATCTCACACTAACAATTGCTAATGTCACCCTATAGATGTCACACTTTGTTACTGATACAAAGTGCTGGGTGCTTGTAAGCTGCACTGTGAATCTGTCAGCTCCATTACAGCATAGATATCACACTAACCCAATCACCAAATAACAATTAAACTCTGAGTGACCTCAACCAGTTCCTCCAACAACTGAAGCAAGTCAAATCCACTTTTACAGAAAAATATATTGTGCACATCAGACTGGTAACATTCACCCTCAAAAGATATTTATACAAGGCCAGCAGTGTTGTTATCTACTCCTTCATATCTCTGTCACTCTCTAATTCCATCTCCACCGCTCCACACACCTCTCCCTTTCCCCTATTCTCCCTTCCCTTGTCTTCAGCACAAAGACCATTACTTCCTCGTTACCCCTGTCAGTTCTGATGAAGAGTTATCAATTCTGCTTTCTCTCCACAGATGCTGCCAGACCTGCTGAGTTTCTCCAGCAATTTCTATTCCTGTTTCACCTTGATACTGTCCCACCTGAGAGAAACAATGGTGCTATTGATAAAAACACTGCCTGCTACAGTGTTCATTGAAATAATTTAAACACACCCACCACAACTTATACAGAATTGAGCTATAATGACTGGCTCAGTCCCAGATTGAATGCACAATCTGTAGTAAGTTCATCAAGTTTAACCAGTCTGTACAACTACCAGCTGCAGAGAGCTCCTGATCTGGGCAGCTATTGGGATTTGTCCTGGGGGATTTTAAGGACGCTGTGAAAAACCAGGCAGAAACATCGCAGAATCAATGGAAAATAAAATCTGTTGCTTTAATTTTCATTGTTCACTCTGATTTATTACAAAAACATTAGTGACGGAAAATTAAGCTCCAACAGAAACTACAGAAGCTGGGAATCTGCAAAGGAAAACAGAAACTGCTAGAGAAACTCAGCATCTCCGGCAGCATCTATGGAGAAAGAAACAGTTAACGTTTCTAGTTGTTCAACAGACAGTCAAACATCACTGCACTTACCAACAGAAAGGTTTGTTCACATTGTGGGAAAGGATGAATTGACAGGAACATTCAGATACTGCAGTTGGAGTGACAGATCATGAGATGAATCCTCCAGGAATACCACCATCACAGCTGGTGACTGTTGTCACTATTTTTCCTCTTTTATCAAGCTACTGGTTGGGATGACGGGAAGAGGGAGGTCACCAAAGTCTGGGATTTCATGGTGAAGTCAAGTAAGGATGGCAGAGGCTGTGTGGCCTTGGGGAATTGAGGGGTTAATTAGGTCTTTGTAAAGACAGACCTGAACTGAGCAAGTCCAAAGTGACAAACCCTTCCTTACCAGCTGCGATTGTGAATTGCTGGTGTAGGTTCTAAGACACAGGTATCTGCCTGGCCACTGTGAAAACAGACAGAGGCTGACACAGCTGTCATTGTGTGGAAGGGAATCTGGCTGCATCACTCCGAATCACCTCCAACAAAGAGATGCTTCTTCAAATTACAAAGTCAAAAAAAGCCCAGCGATTGCCAAATGAACAATGAACTTCTAATGAACAGTGACAAACACCAAATTCCTTCGGAGGTGTGGCATACCTTTGCCAGTTAACATAAATCTAAGCAATTCAACTCCAGACATCTTCCTCAAATTGGACTCAGCCATCAGCATCTGACTCACCACTCAGATTGGTGGAGCTGAACAAATTCTCAGGAGTATCAACACCATCCAGGACAAAGCAGCCGCTTGATTGGCACCACATCCACAAACATCCACTTCCTCCACCACTGCCGCTCAGTACTAGCAGTGTGTACTATCTACAAGATTTACTGCAGAAATTCACCAAAGATCCTCAGACATCATTTTCCAAACCCACAACCACTTCCATCTAGAAGGACAAGGGCAGCAGACACATGGGAACACCATCCCCTGCAAGTTCCCCTCCAAGATGCTCACCATCCCGACTTGGAAATATATCGCTGTTCCTTCACTGTCGCTGGGTCACAATCCTGTAATTCCCTCCCTAAGGGCATCGTGGGTCAACCTACAGCACATGGACTGCAGCGGCTCAAGAAGGCAGCTCGCCCCCACCTTCTCAAGGGGCAACAGTTTTTATTCATTCATGGAATGGGCAATAAACTGAGGCCCAGCCAGTGATACTCATGTCCCATAAATAAATAAAGAAAGGTGCTCTCTTTCCCTCCTTCCGTCCTTCCCAACCAAAGGTTTAAATCCCTGGTCAAAATCAGAACCCAATCCCAGATGTCAAAGACACATTACCTGTGGGAAGAAAGCCTCAGTATTTAATGTTGTCTATCGCACAATGACCAACCATTGCCCAGAAATGGATCATATCAAAATAACATGTGTACACTGTGGCAGAGAGATCAAAGGCAATTGGCTCAGGAAATCGGTGTTACTTTGCAAGCAGCAGAAGTCACTGATAAACACAAGGAGCTGAGTGCCCACAAACCGCTCTGGGCAGGAGGGGCCGAGCTGGGAGAGGGAGGACAGGCAGGGGTTTGTACCACTCCTCACATGTCCTTGGAGGAGCAGCACAAGGTGTCCATCTACAGCCTCAATGCCTTTGGAGGGAGGTGAGCTCTATGGGGCTGGAGCACATCATTTCTCCCTCCAACTCCATCTTAATTTAATCACTTCATCCTTTCCAACCCTCTAGTATTTGAGCACTGGCCTCAGTGGTCCTGTGTGTTAACTGTTCTTTGAATCGCTGAAATAGGTGGACACCCCATTGAACAGAAAAGCACAGTTGGCTGTAATTATTCTCTTCACTACTTGACTCAATTATTATTCTGCTGCAAAGACGGAGCCGAGTGAATTCAATCACCTGCTCTCATCCTGAACTCCTCTAGCGCCTGTTTGTCCTTCACTGTGACTAGTGTGTCCCGACACTGTCGGCCCAGGTGCCGTTGCTGTCTTCTTCAGCCTCCTGCTCTGTGCGTTCTCTACACACCGTCAAGAAAAGTATTTGAGCTGTTTGTACTGTTCAAACATTCCAAGCGGCAAGCTCACCCTGAATCCCATGTGATTCACCTTTTCTAATCAGTCTACCATGTGGAACCCTAATCAAAGGCTTTACTAAAGTCCAAGTAA